GGCCAGTTGTAAGCATTTACTGCTTCTGTATTAAACATTTCTGTGGCCCAAATGGCCCCATGGCTTTTGCTCGCTTTCAGTGCATTACTCCTCATGCTCCTTCTCCTTCCTCTGATGCTCCAAGGCCACAGAAGCTTGGCGTGTGGAGCACTATCAAAGAGCCTGATTACTTGGAACTGACAAGGGTTTTAGCTCTGTAATGGGACCCCGTGGGCTAAATGGATCCAGTAAGTAGTCCTGTGCGTGTGGAATCCTGTCCAGCACCTCTGCAGGAGGGCAGAGAACAGTGTGCACCAGTGCTGGCCTGTGCACCTCCAAAAAGCAGTGTGTGTGATATCCATCCTCCCCTTTGGTCTGACAATAAGGGCCCAGTACATCAGCGTCTTATGTTTTCCAGTGAGCTTTTACAGCCCCATCTGGGCCTCCAAAGAAGGGTAGAAAGTAGACAAGCAACAATGGAAAAGCACTTTATAAGTTATCAACATTAGACCGTAGTTACAAAAGCTTTTGACTTGTCTCAAAATCATGGTACACAAGCCAATTCAGCTGTAATATGAATAAATGCAATTGCTGAGTTAAATTCTGCATGCAATAATTACTAGTTCTGCACACAACCCATTCTTGATTTTATGAGTAACATTAAGTCAGTGTTTCTGTTTCAGGGGCTTAGAAGAAAACTATTGTAGAAACCCAGATGGAGAGAAAAGGCCTTGGTGCTACACTATCAACAGAGCTGTTCGGTGGGAATATTGTGCAATTCCTCACTGTGATGGGATAGAACAACAGTCGGCTGGTATGAGTAATGAGGTGTACTTGAGACAAAAACATTAAAGCAGTGAGATTCTTATTTCTCAAATATGTCAAATCTTTGTTCAGCCACTTTGTCGCTATTGTTTTGCAGTTGTTCTTGTTGTTACATTGCAAAATCTGCCAAATAATAACATTTTTGAAAAGTTGGACTTCTAATGGGGAGGAACTGCAGTGAAGAATATGTTACCAACTGACACAATATTAAAAAATACAGGAGGTTTATTTCTTTATATTCTTTTTTTTTTTCCCCAAAGGCAGAACATTTTCAAAGCATCATACACAAAATCACAAATGCCTCTAATCTTTGAGGAATTTTGCATGTGAACTTTCTGGATGTGTAACCCAGACACTTTTACATACACTGAAGTGAAACTGAAGGATGACCCCTGTAGTGAACAGCTTCTGACATACGAGGATAATCTGTGGAAGTTATTTAAATAACTTTTGAAGCATCCTTCCATTTTTCATGCTGATCGAGATGTGGCTACTGGAAGCCAAGCCAACTGTAGAAATGAATCCTTTTTATCTTTTGGTGTGTTTGGTGCTTTCTTGTGCCTCCTGAACATGAACATGAAATTAAGATGCAAGGCACTGGTTTCTGTTGTTCTCTGCAGGCACTGATGTGCTCGAACACAGTCCTGTCTCAGAGGAGTGCTATCGAGGCAAAGGCCTGAGTTATCGTGGCACAGCTTCCTTCACTGTGTCCGGAAAGCAATGCCAAGCCTGGAGCTCCATGTTCCCTCACAGACATGAAAAAACCCCAGACAAATTCCCAAACGCGTATGTTCATTTTACCTTTCTCTGTTTATCTGACAATGGCCATTGCTGAAAATGATACTGATTGTTCTTATGCTTCCATGTTTTAAAATAATGGCAATAAAAGTGAATTTTTCACCATCTTTTCTTTTTTTTCAAGATGTGTAACTATTTTCTGTCAGTCTCATTAAGAAAAAAGAAAAAAAGGCGTCTTCCATTTATTTAAATTTTGAACAAAATGTAAGTGTGCCCTTCTACATCTAGGAGCCAGAACTGCTGGTAACCAACAACAGGAGGCAGGACGTGTGTACTGATTCTGGGCATCTACTTTGTTTAAGCAAATTTACTTTATCTGGGGTGAACACAACATTTATATTGCAAAACATAGTCAGTTGTATCATGATTATTATTACCACATTAAATGTTCTTTGCAGTTTGAATTGTACACACAAAATTACAAAGTTTTCTTCTTTTTTTTTTTTTTACTTTCTTTTTTGGGTTTAAAATTGGACCACTGATGACTTCTAGAGCTAGTCACAGTTATTAATGTGCCAGTTGTTAATAAGGGTAGGAAAGCAACAAAACGAAAATTGCTAGGAAATCCATCATTACCTGCAGAGTTACAAGTGCAGGCAGGAAAGTTAATACCTTTCTCTTTTTTCTTGTTTCTTTCTGATTTCACCCTAAATAAATTTCATTGGAAATTTTCACTCACATTTTTGCATTAAAAATATTGATGTATTGTAGCTCAAACATACTAAGAAAAGGTTTTAGTTTTAGAAATTAGTTTAAAAATTGGAAGCAAATTGTGAAAACATGCAAGCAGCATGTTCTGGCATAGTTAGATAAAAGCATTTCACTTTTTTCCTTCTGTAACTCTGCAGTGATGCAGGGCAAGGAAACACTGCAACTTCACAAATTACTAGAGAAAGGAATTCTACTTCCCCCTGCCCCAACAAACACAGGCATGCCAGTGCTTCCACTGAATACAGTGGAAGTGTATTTGCAGAAAAATGGTTTGTGTGCATCCCTATTTATTTTCCCACTCTTAAGAATAAGAGAAAGAACCCTGTAACTTTTAAAAAGTATAATTGCCCACTAACAGTATGGATATTGCTGTATATTTATTGCTAAGTAATTTGCACATTCACATACTTATTCATGCTTATTCATATGTGTTTAGAAATAAAATTATTGTGTTACTACCTGCTCTACCTGACCCTGCTTAAGTAGAGGAGTCAGACTAGATGATCTTTAGAGGTCCAGCCCCAGTTATTCTGTCATATTAGTCACCTATTTAGCACTCAATGCACTGATATATTGCAGCCAGAATTTATGCCAATAGTCAGATTATCTTTCCTTTAATTTCAATATATTCACCTCTCTGATATGCACATAGACCAAACTTTTCACTCCTATCACATCCACAAATTTGCATAGTGGTAATAAGACAACTGGCAATATGTAAAAAGACATACAAATGTATTTATTTTTACATCATATATACCCACATTTTTTTGGCAAGATGACTATGATTACCTTCATGTTATTATTGTGCTTCTTTTTGCAGGGATTTGAGGAAGAACTATTGTAGAAATCCAGATGCCGATGAACACCCATGGTGTTTCACCACTGACCCCAGAGTGTTATGGGAGTACTGCAGTCTGAAGAGGTGTGATGATCAGAGACAAGAGCGGGCACCAAACCCCCTTCCTACAATGACAGCACAAAGCGTTGACCCAACTATCCCCGCCACACCTGGTAAAGCTGGCTATATGTGGCACTTCCTGATGTACCTGTTGGTAAAACAAATATTCTATCAAAATTCCTTGAGTGCTATAACATAAATAATCCTTCTCCAGGCTTCAGAACAGTACCTTTGAGTTTTCCAGGAGATGTTCTGCAGTCATTTTATATCCTTGTCCGGTATCATTTTGCAGCACCTTCTGGAGGATATATTTTGCACTTAGGGAAACAGGAGGAACACAAAGTTTTTGTAGCCATGTGCCATTGAAATATGATGAGAGCAAATGGCAGTTTTGTGAAAATTTTGCTGATGCCGTACTTTGTCCTTAGGATGTTGCCCTTAGCTTCAGTGGAGTTTGTTCATATGCAAATGTGTTTTGCAAAAGACGTGCACCAGGAGGCACTGGTTTTTGCTCTATCCTGCATAATTGCCGCTTTAATTGAAAGGCCCATGTTAATTCAAGCACTGTGACTGTTCTGAATATATAGTATAGGATCCTACTGGATGTTTACTTTGCAAGAGAAAGTGCAAAGGTTGGTTAAAAGATTAATTCCTCTCTGCTGCTGTTTACTCTTACACGTTGCAGAAGAAAGTAGCTGAGGCCATGCTCTCGAAGACAACTGTCCTCTCATTTTAATGGGCTGCTAAATCTAAAATATGCTTCTCTCATGAAAGGTTCTTGCTGACACTAATTCAGCAAGGATCTTTTCAGAGATCTGTGACATGCTACAGAGGGTATTTTGCCTGAAGTTCAATGAATTATCTTCCAGTTCAGTTGCTCTGTATATCCAGTAACACATCTATTTTGACAGAAATCACATCCCAGGTACCTTTTCCTATTAATTTCTGCCATAGTAACTGCAGACTAGGATTACTCATTCCAACTTATTTCTACTTATCACAACATATGAATTTAGCAGCTAACATCACTTCCTTTTCCTCTTTTTTCACAGAATGTATTAACGGTAATGGTAAAGATTACCGTGGCACAATAGCAAAAACTGGAAAGGGCAGGACTTGCCAAGCATGGAGCTCTCAGACACCTCATAGCCACAACTATTTCACTCCTGTGACTCATCCAAGAGCAGGCCTGGATAAAAATGTAAACAACTGTTCATGCCGTTGTCATTGAATGTTTTGTTTTCTCCATGACCTCTCAGCAAACATTTCACATTGGTTTCATAGACCAGCTTTAAGCATACCTGGAGGTCGTTGCATTGTTAGCCCAGAATATAATGGTAATGGAAAGGGAAAGATGCCTTACACGTTACCTGGGATGTTGGTATTTCAAGCACTGAGGTATACCATGGCATTGCTGCTTACAAGCAGGCAGTGTAAAAGAGATCATTGAGGGTTTGCTCAGTTTCTGCAAACATCAGAGGAATTAATGCCTTTTGCTGTTTGTCACAAAATGGGTAGAGTTCTGGCAAATTCTCAGAGCTGACCTAGGTTGCTTTCACTTTAGTGGAAGAACAATTAGGCCAACACCAACTTCTTACTAAAGCAAATCCCATCCTATGTCAAACTTTACTTTTTGTGAGGCCTTGAAAAGCACTGGAGGAAGGCTGACTATTGGTTGCTGAAGATGATAGAAATTTATCACATTTCCCTAATTTCACATAATCTTTTGAGATGGAGAAAACAACAAAAAAATTGTGGTTAGCAGAAATAGAAAGTACCTAACAGAAGGGCAGTGAAAAAGTAGTTGGAGAAAATATTTCAAAGCTTTGGATTAACATTCCTTTAAAACATATACTAGTAGAATTTTTATTCTGTGCCTAATACTTGGAGTCTTTATTCTCTGTTTTTGTAATTATTACAGTATTGCAGGAATCCTGATGGAGATGTAAATGGTCTTTGGTGCTTCACAACAGACCCAGAAAAAAAATGGGAGTACTGTGAAATCCCACGCTGCTGTAATTATCCTTAAAACTTACCTGTCCTCACTTCCTACAGTCTGCTATGATAGTTACAAGATGTATTCAATCCAACCAGCAAAAAACTGCAGTAGGTAGTAACTTTAGATTTGAATTTTGGTTTGCATGGATGTTTGACATGGCCAAAAGCCTGTTACAGTTAGTCAAAGTTTAGTCAACCTGGTGTTAGGAACCATCTGTACAATTTGTAGACAACAGTTCATGTCCTCTTTATCGTCAGCGAAGACAAGAACTCAGAGTTGAAGGCAATGTATCTGGTAAAGCTGCACAGAGCTGTTCATTCTCTGGAGTCCTCAAACACAGGAGAAGTTTTTCTTGACAGGACTAGCAATTCTAGAACCTGTTCATACAGCTTGTGTATGAGTTAGTGGAGAGCACCAGAGATATCATGAATATCTTTATCATCCTAGCTGAATTTTTATTCCGATCTTGTGTTATGCATGTTAATCTGTCCCTGGGCATTTTGCCTTTCCTCTAGGTTGGGGAGTGCATTTGGTCCTGGATATGTTATACAGGTTTCCTTAACTACTTTCTTCTATTTTGGGATTCTACTCGGCATACTGTGCAGGGGTAGTCCTCATGTAAAAAGTCAACATCAAAAGAATTTTTAGCTCCTAAAGGTACCCTGGCAATGGGAGTCAATAAGAAGTGTAATGTATTGGGAGTGATGCTTGGCATATTTGTCAGTCATTTGCTTTGTTTTTCCCTGCTTTGTCTGAATGTTGACAAACATTTTTTTCATATATTTGGCAGTGAGATGAAAAGTCTATTTCTTCTATTTCTTTTAACTGCAAATAACATGTGGAAGCCAGTTTCCTGCTCTGTTTAGCAGTGTAGCAATATAAAACTGCATAGAAAGGTCTCTCCCAATATTAAAAAATGCTCTTCGTGCTGGCAACCTAATGTGTTTCTCTAAACAGCAGTGTTTTATGACTGTATATATTAAGTCAGCCAGCCAAGCCTAAGATCGTTACAGGGAAAATGAATAAGGAACAGTATACAAAAACAAAAACCACAGTTGTAAAAAGCTCTTCTCCCTGGAATTACTATGATGAATGTCTACTTCTGAGATCTGATCTCTTTTCAAAGCAGCCTTTGAATATTAGATTTTTAATTTCAAATGTATGTGAGCTTTAAAGTCTCATGCCTTTTGTCTTTAATTGCTTTTTAATTGTCTCTTACTGGAACCAAGAAATTTCATGTTCACATACACAGCTCTGGAAAGAGTTACTTGGGTACTTACTCAGCACTGAAAATCCATCTATTTGAAAAAAAATTAGAGAGATTTGGGCTACCAAGAAAGCAAAATGAGCAAAGTGAAGACAGAACTGTAATATTTTGTGACAAGGAGAAAGTGACTCAATTTTATTTATAACTACAGATTGATTTAAATTGAATCTAAGTGGAGCCTGTAGAGTTTTGAGGAATTTAGAGAGTTATTAGTTTTAATTGGTCTGGACATTAAACTCCTGTACTTCCTTTCACTCTCTTTTCCCTTCAGCTCTCCACCTAGATATTCTTTCTTTTCTGGCTGATCATAGTTTTACTTGTATTAACTGATCACAGGCATACTTGATACAGCTGACAATTTTTTGCTATTTTTTTGTCAATGTCCTGTCATGTCAAAAGTGACATGTTAACCTCAGCTTAAAGTGTTGATAGTAATAATGATATAATGGAGTCAAAGGGTACTGCTTGTTTCTTAACCCTTAGTTTCTAACCTGCATAAAGAATGAAATCCTAAGGAGGACATAGAGGCCTTATTCCTTTTTCTTCTCATCTGTTTGCCCTGTGAAAGGCATTACAGAACTACTTTCAGATTCACTGTGGCTTTCTTTTATTCTGTAGCTTCTTCTCAGCCTGGCTGTGGAAAATTCCCATGGAGAAGAGAGCGGACCTGTAAGCCATACAGCACGTGCTATGCTTCTCCAGGGTCTTGGCCTTGGCACGTCAGCCTCAGGATGAGGTATTGATATTCCAAACTGTATGGCCTTCTGTGAGCAGCAGGGTTTCATAAGGAACAGCCTTTAGAAAGCGTGTGACAAAACAGAGCATGTGCTTCTGGAGACTGGCCTTGGTCTCTATATAAAATACCATAAAATGTAATTTTATAAATAATTTCCACAGATAAGGACTATTAAATGGTTATCCCCAAACTTTCCCATTTCTGCCGAATCTCTAGAGGGTAGACTTGAACTGCAGGCCTTGGATATGCTTTGATTTACTGACATGGGAAGAGAATAAGTCCTGCTGAGGTTAATGAGAGTTAACTGCGGCCTGCAGTGTGGAAGTTAGACCCAGGCATGGAGCCACCAACCTGCAATGTGTGCAATTGGATTTTGCTTATTCCTTCTCACATGGTATCCAATCTCTTTTATATGTAATTTGATTCTTAGGCTGCCCTAATTGTGTTAGAAGTCATGTGAAAACCATTATCTCTCAATATAAAACCCCATTATGCCTAGTGTTTCCACAGCCATAGGTGAAAATGGCTAAAGAGAGGATGTAGAAGTGCTAACAGAAAGGCTTATGAATTTTTCTGTAGAGTTTTTGACAGTCACCTAAATAAATATCCCGAGAAAAGTTGAAAGTCCATAACAAGGCATAAATGACATGCTTATTTAGAAAACCAGTAAGAGCCAACACCTTCAAAATCAGCCAGATGCAGCCTTTTTTTAATTGCTCAGGACAAATCTATTACATCACAACTAAAATTGTTAGGAAATGTCACTGTTTTTGTTACACTCCTGGAAGCAATAGTGCTCTGTCACACTGGAACATTGTTGTAAAATTTCTGTCTGGGTATCAAGCTTCTTTCCATGTGCCTCACCTTCTGGAGAAATAAAGTTTATGCCTTAAAAATCTGTATTTGATTTCTTATACCATCGATAATATACAATTTATGAATGATAAAGTTCTGAATTAGGGGCATAGTGATAGTCTGCCTGTATTTCTTATTGTGCATAGCAGAAATGATAGGAGAGTCAACTATGCAGTTTTAAATTAATCTGATTAATCTAATCTCTATTCCAGTACCAATGAGCACCACTGTGCGGGTACTCTGATACATCCACAGTGGGTTCTTACTGCAGCTCAGTGCTTGCAACAGTGAGTATCCTTTCTGGGGGTAGGGGAGCTGAAGGAGGTATTCCAAGGAAAAATGAGCTTTCAGCTTTGAACCTGACTACAGTAAAAATTAAGTCACTTGTGTCAAGGAATTTCCACCTGCTTATTATATGCTTCCAACCTACTTCTTGTTTTCTGTCTTCCCATAGAGATTGTCCTCTTCTTAGCTTAGAAAAGCAGCTAAGCTGGTACTAACTATGTTTGAAAAAGTAGCAGCTGACCCACTGGGCTTGAGGAACTGTGAACGCTATAAGGAGGTGCCTCATTATTTACAACCCATGGGATATTCCATAATAATTAAAACCAAACTGTTAAAAAACTGTCCAAGATTAATTTGCATTTTTATTTGCTGATCAAAATCAGCATCTTGGCCATCTCGTTAAATTCAGTTCTCCAGGGATATCAAAAAATTCTGTAAGAGTGAAATTCCCATTTACATGTATATAAGTATAATCTTGCCACTGTCATTTCTTACAGGTCATCAGAGGCCTCTTCCTACAGGGTCTTTCTGGGGCTACAGAACCTGAAGGTGGCAGAACCATCTTTGCAAATTCGTAGCATTCAGAAATTATTCAAGGAACCCAGAGGAGCAGACATTGCCTTGCTGAAGATGAGCAGGTACAATTTCAGCCCAGGTTTTCCCACTTAATGCTTTTACTATGAAGTCACCTTGTCTGGATATGACTCTGAGAGTTGGTTTTAGGAGGTGTGAAAAAGTGTGAGAGTCCCTCTGAGTATTAGATTGGGAATATATTTTAGGACAAACTCTGAGCTCTGCTCCTGAGTGACCTCACTCTGGCAGTACCCATGTGAGCTACTTACACATCTTAGGAAAGGCAAGTACCAGTTAGGATGGGAGGGATTGTTGTGGAGGATTCCCACTCATGCACTACTTCCCACCACTAAGGAGCAACTCCACTGAAACAGGGAGAGAGGAGGAAAATCAAAGTGGGTTGCGGCTGAAAGATCTTCTGCTCAAAGGCTCTTACTGCTCAGCCCTAAACATCCATGACCACAAGTCTGGCCTCCTGGACTGCACCCTCTGCATGGAACAAGTGGAAAGGTCCATTTTTTTATAACAGATCACACAAACATTAGAGGCCTCTGAGGAGTTGCCAGTTACCACTCTATGTTAAATTTGAGCTCCTCAAAGCCACATTTCTTGTATGTGAGCTTTCTGAGGTGAGGTCTCATCTTAAGATAGACCTAGAATTTCCTTAGTGCAAAACAGGTAGAAATAAAGTTATCTTCTTGAAGTTGCCAAAGCAGAAGCTGCAAAGACCAGTTCCTCCAGTTCAAAAATGGCTTTTTTTTTTTTTTTGGCTACTGTCACCACAGCAGGACAGACAGCAGAGATGCTGTGAGGACCAATCTAACAGTGGAATTAAAGTTGAGGTGCTAAATACAACCTTGAAAGCAAAGCCTCCTCTTGCCCATCTATTTTCAGGAGTTCTTTCCATAAGAAACATGCTTTATTAAGAGACGAATGAACCAGTTTTGGAAGCTACAGAACTGATTTCCATCCAACTGATTTCCACAGTTAATTTCCTGGAACCATGTGAAAGTCAACATTATATATCCCCATCCTGGACTTTAGAGAGATGGAAAATGGAGTTCCAAATAATGATGATCGCACTGGGGCTACCGTACCTTCCACATACGATCTGTTTAGCATTTCTAACCTCCTGGGCTCTTGTGTTCATGTTTAATTCAGATCTTTGCATTGCAGAGGCCTTCATTTCATCAGTCAGGAGCAGTTTCATTTGGTCTCTCATGCTCCTGAATCTTCATAGAACTCCTAACCCTGGCATGTCCTAATTAAGAAAAGGGGAATCTGCTAGTTCTCTTTCATTTCTGGCCCTGAAAAGAAATGTACCCTGCCTCACATGTGGAGTTCAGTCCTTTTGCTGTATTTCACAGTCAGTACTCTCCTTCACGGGGTTGGTTCCTGGCATATCTCATTTGACATTTTGTTCAGACACATGCTCACTGAACTGGTACCATTTGCACTCCTCTGACTTTTAGCATAATATATCTTAAAAAATATTTAGCATAATGTATCTTAAAAGATACATAAGATATATAATCTTTTTACACATACAACTGAAAGTCAATAAGGGATCAGACAGACCAAAGCAAAGATTATTTCACTAGATGTTTCACTGTATGAAATCCAGCCATGGAATTTCTAAGGTGGAGATCCTGCTCTGAGGGAATACGTCACTTGAGCATAAGAAATGCCATTGGCCTTCTTATGTATCATGTTCATCCTCTGCAGAACTGGTTCCCATCAATTCTTATGCCACTGTTGATGCTTCTAGGCATGGTGCTGCAGTAAGGAACAGATGTACTTTTGCCTTTATTTTATTGAGGATACCAGAATGCTTGACTTAATTATGACTTAGATATTGCATGAAATCATCCCCAATGTAATTGTATAGAGGTGATTTCAAGGGAGAAAGGAAAAAGCTTTAGCTGTGCTTGCTTATTTAGTCATTCATCCATCTTTCTCTCCTCCTGTGAAGTCCCTGCAAGGGTCCACAACCTCTGGGGCTTGGAGGGCCAGGGAGAATTCAGGCTCTCACCATCTGCAAAGAGCGCTAGTACTAGCCTTGGGCTTGTGCACATTCCTACAAGCACTGCTTGGGTAACAAGAGATCAGATCTCTAGCACTGTACTGCAAATACACTCACACTGTGACTGTGCCCACCCACACATCTCAGACACTTTAAAGTAACCTTTTTCACTAAGTGGCCAAAAACAGCTTAGAAACATCTATATGGTTCTAAGGCACCATTTTCTTCTCTCTCCCCAGCCCTCTCCTTTGTTTAAAACATCAACTGAGTATGAGGAATAAATGAGTTGATGATTATTTTCTAAGGATCTTTTTTATTTTTCTCTGTTTGTTTTCCAGTCCTGTAATGCTTACTGACCATGTGAAACCTGTTTGTTTGCCCGAAACAAGTCTGGTGGCAGAAAGAAACAGAGTATGTTTTCTAACTGCCTGGGAAAAACCAAGAGGTAAAACACATTCAGTGCGATTGGAAGCTTGAGAGAGTTTTCAAATCCTGTCCCAAAATATAAATACTCAGGGAACTTTAAAAAGATTTTTTTTTACAAAAATTTATCTATATCCAGTATCATGAGGCAACATTATTCTATTTTTTTTCTCTTAGAGTTTGATTTTTCTTCTTCAGAAGTCACGTGAATTCATTAAACAAGTGAAAAGAAAGAAGGGAATGAAACTCAGGACTTTTATCATCTTTTATTTCTACTTTAGTCTTTCATCAGCTAAGAGAAACACTGTACACATTCTATACATATAAATATGGTAATTACTTAAATAAACCCCGTTGACTTCAGATAGACAATTTCTAAACGTATGAGCAAAGTTTGCACCTGGCCAGCTTAAGTCAAAACAACACTGTCTTCAGAGACTCCTGTAGGGATCTATGTTCATGCCAGAGAGATAGGGTACATGGGGAAGCCCCATCCCCAAGACCTTGCATTTGAGACAAGACAACATCTTCAAAAACACAGTGCCTTTTAGTTAGCCTTTCCTTAGATCTAGCTCCCTTTGTGGCACAGGCAGTGTGAGCACAAGCTGAAGGCTTTTAATGTCAGTAAAGCCCTTAGCCCTCTTTTCCACAGTTTACCCTTAAAAACTGATCTAGGTGGTTTCCTGCTGCCTCATTCTCTCTCTACATACTTGGGTTGGAGCCAAAACAATCCCCAGCCCTTTCTGACCTGTCCTTGCCAGAGCCTTTCTCACCTCTGCAGACTCCAGCAGGGATGGTGGTGCCCGCTGTCATTTGGTTTCTGCTCCCACAAAAACACATTTGCTACCACTGAACCAAACACAAGGGATGTCATTCCAATTCCATTTGCAAACAGCACAGCACCTTGTTAAGACTCTGGTTTTAAAAGTAAGCCAATAGACCCTTCTTTGTGTGTGTATCTCATAACTAAACAACAAAAAAATCTGTCTCACAGTAATTTCCCCTGCATTTAGCTACAAAATTGATGCTACTCAAATATATTATACCATTAGCACAACGCATGAGCATTATGAAGAAACACTTTTCTCCACAGTGGACAGTGTTTACTGGCTTTCCACTCACCTTTTCCTTGTCTTACGGTGCTTTTTTTTCACTTAGGCTGCCACAAGGTGGCAGAGACTTGTTGTCTTCTAGTCAACCACTCTCAGAGAACAGCACAGACTAGATTTCTTCTGGAAGTATACTAGGGGGAAAAGTCAACAGACCATTTCTGGGTTTAAGTGGTGGAAAAGAGTGGCCCTGAAACTAAGCATGTGCTTTTAACTTATGTTGTAACACTTTGCAAAGGAGAATAATCATTGCTATCTCCATTCTAGAGTGGAAACAATCCGAATATAGAGAAGTTAAAACATCTAACCAAGTTCTTCAGGACCTCAGAGTCTACAGTAGAGTTGGGGACAGATCTCAATCCTTTCATTTGTCAGATTTCACTGGGTTGCAGTGGATAGGCTACCAGTTATAACTGTTATGCTTTCCTGGTTACTCACAAAGGTACCGATGGAGACGGTAGATTAAAGTACATCGAATTACCCGTGCTTGAAAATAAAGCATGCAATCGCCCCGAAGTTCTGAATGGAAGGGTCAAAAATCATGAATTTTGTGGTGGTCATACTTTTGGAAGCATAGATCTCTGTGAGGTAAGAACAATCTAAGTCTTGAGCACAAGCAAACCAAAAGACAATCTGCACTTCCAAGGCTCTGAAATAGCTTCAGCAAATTAAGGCTTCTACATAAAGCGTAAGAACTGAGTCATACACAGAACCTTTTCTTCTCTCACACAGTCAATTAGAACAGCAGATATAATGGCAGTTATAACTGCACGCTGACATGTTCTACTCAGTAGCCAGATGTTGTGCATATCACATGCCACTTGAAATAAAGCCTGTGAAAACCTAGACTTTCCCTAGTTCCTAGAGATAGCAGGGAAACTAGTGAATGGTTACCATGTCCATAGCTATATAGTTGTAACACCTTATTTTATACTTAATTTGAAGCTACTGCTTCAAGTGTTTCTTCTTTTCTAGTTTTCACAAATATGTGAAAATATTTTAAAATGTTATTTTCTTAATGGAGAGGATCATGTTGGGAGCTTCTCAATAAAAAGGTGGTGACTACCTGGTGACAGAGACAGAAAGAAAATGCTGATCAGTGACTTGTACTTGAGTCTCTTTTCTTCAGACCAGAAGAATGACCTGTATGCTTCGAGACAGCCTTTTTTTTTTTCCCCCAGCTCTATTATCTGGTCTAATAAAAACTTCCTCCCCTCTCTAAAGCTTTTGCCTCATCTATTTTTTGAGGCCTTCAGAGCCACCACAACATTATTCCTGCTAGAGTTTTGCTGTTTTCATGTCTAGTGCCATCATCAGATGATTCTTTCTTCTGTTCCCTAGGCTGATGTTGGAGGACCTCTGGTTTGCCAAGATGAAGACAGATTTGTTCAATATGGAGTCACCTCATGGGTACTAGACTGTGCCCAGCCATCAAAGCCTGCTGTTTTTGTCCATATTCCTAGTTTTGTTTCTTGGATCAAGAATGTAATGGTTGCCCACTGAATCTTTATGCAAGCTGGCTTTACTGAAAAAGCATTCTCTGTGCTGAAGAAACAGCGTTCCAAGTATAGTTTTAAAATTGAGATAATTGATAAGAACCTTAAATAAATATCATTACTGGCAAAGAATAAGTAGTTACTGGGAAGCATGTCAAACTGAACAATTATTACTGTTGTTAAATGTGTCTGTGCTGTGTGTGAGTAAACCATCCCTGCTGCTGCAGCAGTGGCAGAGATCAGGTTTATAGAATCACAGAATGCTTAAGGTTGGAAGGGACCTCTAGAGGTCATCTAGTCCAACCCCCCTGCACACGCAGGGTCACCTAGAGCATATGGCACAGGACTGCGTCCAAGCGGGTTTTGAAGATCTCCAGAGAAGGAGACTTCACAACCTCTCTTGGCAGCTTGTTCCAGTGCTCTGGCACCCTCACTGTCAAAACACTTTTCCTTAAGTTCCTGTGGAACTTTTGGTGCTTCAGTTTGTGGCCATTACTTCTAGTTCTGTTGTTGGCCACCACTGAAAAGAGGCCAGCACCATCCTCCTCACTGTCTCCCTTGAGGTACTTATAGACACTGATCAGATCCCCTCTCAGCCTTCTCTTCTCCAGGCTGAACAGGCCCAGCTCCCTCTGCCTCTCCTCGTAGGGCAGATGTTCCAGGCCCCTGATCATCCTTGTGGTCCTGCGCTGGACTCTCTCCAGCAGCTCCACATCCCTCTTGTACTGTGGAGCCCAGAACTGGACACAATACATTGGTGGCAATGAGCCACCACAGAGAGGATCTCAAACCAGATTCAGATTTACCTGTTTGCTTTCAGCATAAGCATTACAAATTCTTCAGGCTCTGGTAAAAACAGCATCTTGCATATTTTTTCATTATTTTTCTTTTTTATGAATTATTAAGTCTCCTTCTCTGCCCGAAAAAGGAGGGCAGAGTAAAAATGGGCATCTAACAGTTTGCTTAAGTGGAATTTTAAAAAATACCATTAAATGAAATTTTTATGCTTCCAGGGCTCTGAAACAGCGGACTGGACCAAGGACTGACCCCTGGGGGACCCTGCTAGCTACAGGCCTCCAACTAGACTCTGCACCACTGATCACCACCCTCTGAGCTCAGCCATGCAGCCAATTCCTAATCCACCTCACTGGCCACTTGTCTATCCCATATTTCCGGAGCTTGCCCAGGAGGATGTTGTGAGGGACGGTGTCAAAAGCCTTGGTGAAGTCGAGATAGACGACATCCACTGCTTTCCCCTCATCTACCCAGCTGGTCTTTCCATCATAGAAGGCTATCACGTTAGTCAAGCAAGATTTCCCCTTGGTGAATCCATGGTGACTACTCTTGAGCACCTTCTTGTTCTCCACATGCCTGGAGACAATGGCCAGTATGAGTCGTTCCATCACTTTTCCAGGGAGGGAGGTAAGGCTCACTGGCCTGTAGTTGCCTGGGTCCTCCTTCTTGCCTTTTTTGAAGACTGGCCTCACATTGGCTTTCTTAAGGTTCTTTCTTCAATTCTCTCAAGCAACTGGCCCTTCTGTATATATAAGGCCTTTCTACAAAACTGTGCAAGATCTGTTCCTGTCCCCTTCATTGGCATCTACCCTCTTTCTGCCACTGCCCCTGGAGAAGGGAAGTAACAACCAGAACAAGCTTCTGCCATGGGACTGGAGAGGCCAGGCAAGGCTGTGACTTTTGCTGACAGGAGCTGGATGAAAGCACAGTGGAGTTGCCCCTCTTTGGCGTTAATTCCCCAGGTGAGCTTTGTGCTGAGGTGCAGGGGAAGGAAAAAGACATTAGTTTTGCATGAGAAAAACAGTTATGGGCTCCAATGGGCAAAAAATGAACCTGATAGCTCTGGTATAGGCAACATTTTTATGACACACTTGTACTAAAATCCTGCAGTCCTTCAGCTATGGATAAGGACTGCTGCTGACACTGTCAAGAACAGCTGGGGCTAGAGAAAGGTTATTCAAACACCAGCAGAACATGTTCCAGTGGCATCAGAAATCAACAGAAACCCACCTGCTCCAAGTTTGTGACTTGATTCTGCAGGTATTTAAATTCTTTCTTGGTGTCTTCCTTTTTGGATAACCTTACTGTAGGTGTCTGAGAGAGCACTTCGGGGTTTTATTTTTTATTTTGGGGCTTTTATGTGAATACAGCCTGGAAATCCTGCATTAGGATGCAGTAACCACTGGGGTAGAGTGTCTGGAGAGCTCCGTGGCAGAAAAGGATCTGGGGGTGTTGGTTGATAGCTGGCTGAACATGAGCCAGCAGCGTGCCCAGGGGGGCAAGAAGGTGGTATCAGGAACAGTGTAGTCAGCAGGACCAGGGAAGTGATCGTCCCCCTGTGCTCAGCACTGGTGAGGCCGTACCTCGAATACTGTGTTCAGTTTTGGGCCCCTCACTACAAGAAAGACACTGAGGTGCTGGAGCGTGTCCAAAGAAGGACAACAAAGCTGGTGAAGGGCCTGGAGCACAGACCTTGTGAGGAGCAGCTGAGGGAGCTGGGGTTATTAGTGTGGAGAAGAAGAGGCTCAGGAGAGACTTTATCTCTCTCTACAACTACCTGAAAGGAGGTTGTAGTGAGGTGGGGATCAGTCTCTTCTCCAAAATATCTACAGATAGAGCAAGAGTTGCACAGGGGAGGTCCAGGTTGGGTATTAAGAAAAATTTCTGCATAGAAAGAGTGGTGAAGCACTGGAACAGCCTGTCCAAGGAAGTGATGGAGTCACCGTCCCTCGCAGTGTTCAAGAAACATGTAGATGAGGCACTTAGGGACATGGTTTAACAAGGCATGGTGTTGAAGGACTTACAGTTGGGCTCAATATTCTTGGAGGTCTTTTCCAACCGTAATGATTCTATGATTATATTCTCCATCTCAGAAAAATAGCTGTTTCATTGGCATGAGGATTCTTGACTTTTTACCTGTCATTCACTCTTGTTTTGTCACATAGTTGGTATACCATTTTTAAGACAGTGTCTTGCATTTTCCATTCTTCTGGCCTAAGTAGTAAATCTGTTTTTGATATTTACAGTGCAGCTCATTAGTACCATCACTTGCTAGGATGATTGTTTAATATACTGTCACATAAAGTAGGTTTTGTACCCTGAATTTGTTGATAACAAATTATGAATTATGTTGACAACAAACCAGAAGTTTTTCATCAGCTGGCATCCTCCATTCTTGACACATCAGTCATGTCATCCTTTTTGTTTCATCCAGCCTTCCTGGAGGCTCCTTCAGGGCACACTATCTTCTTAATCTCTCTCACGGCTGCAAATGTACTGCTGGACTTTTTTTGTTTACCTTAAGCTTGCAGACAACTGCAGCACTTCTAATCTCTTTGACTGGTAACAGTGTGTTTGCTTTGGGAAATTACCCTATACAAGGTGTTGTAAGATTGCAGGACAGTTCGTAACTCAGGAAGACATTGCAGACTTTGAAAACAACTTCTGAAAAGAAGTTATGAAAATATATCCTGTTGTTCATAGCATATGCTGGTTGACTTTTCACCCTGCTTTCATCATTGTTACAAATCTTTGTACTGCATCTTATATTTCTACACTTTATTTGGTATAATTAGAATTTGATATGCTACAGTCTTTTGTACACGTGGCATATATAAATTGCATATCCTTCAGCAAATTACTTTGCTCCTAAACAGAGCTGGAGCAAATCATAGAACTGATCAGCAAAAGTTTCCATGTACTTCCTTTCCATGTAAATCTTAGTTTAGGAATTTACGTGAGACGCAGACAAAAAATTTACCTTTACCGATGCTATCTTTGGCAAACACAAGCTGTTGAATTAAACAGCAAGGTTTTGTTGCTGTTGCTTTCCTTACTAGGAACATAAAGGGAACATTGCATAATAAGTTTAATGGACCATCTTAAATAGTTTTACAAACTGCTGGCAAACACAGAAGGTGTTAGAGCTAACTTTGGAAAAATATATATATGTTCTTCCCCTCTGTTGCTTTCCCTGAACTCGAGCAAAAAAATCTGTGAGGGAGTTGAATTGAAATAAAATAAAATAAAATAAAATAAAATAAAATAAAATAAAATAAAATGCTTGTGAAATTGCCTTTAAGTGATCTGCAGAGACTTTCAACCTGAAACCACAGGTGAGCTGCGAGATGTGTGACCAAATCCTTCATGATTTTGGTGAAAGTGACATTGGATTC